TTTAGCGACCCTCGTATTGGGTGAACATTATTATTATTATTATTATTATTATTATTATTATTTATTATTATTATTATTATATATATATATATATATATATATATATATATATATATATATATATATATATATATATATATAGTTAAATTCCCAGATGAATTCTGTGGAAAAAGACAGATTGGTATCAAATGACAATTGGAAAAAAAAATCATACATTTGCCGACGCGTTTCGTCTTCCGACTTTTCAAGGTAAAAATGAAATCGAAATGTTTTTTGTTGTTATAGTTACATTAAAATTCAAAATTAAAAAGATAGACGCTTGTGTCTAAGCCTTTTTCTGGTTAATGTAAATTACCTTTATAGTAAGGGATTATTATTATTATTTTTTTTTTTTTCCATGTCGACAATATAGTTAAATTCCCAGATGTCATTTGATACCAATCTGTCCTGTCCACAGAATTCATCTGGGAATTTAACTATATTGTCGACATGAAAAAAAAAAAAAAAATAATAATAATAATCCCTTACTATAAAGGTAATTTACATTAACCAGAAAAAAGGCTTAGACAGAAGCGTCTATCTTTTTAAATTTGAATTTTAATGTAACTATAACAACAAAAACATTTCGATTTCATTTTTGCCTTGAAAAAGTCGGAAGACGAAACGCGTCAACAAATGTATGATTTTTTTTCCAATTGTCATTTATATATATATATATATATATCATATATATATATATATATATATATATTATAAATTAATTGATTTAAAATATGGTTTTTTTCGTTACACAGTTCCAACCATGTTTCAAAAATAGAAGCTAAAATCCCCGAATTTAATTTTGCAATTAAATTAAAAGCATTAGTTCCATTTCATCTTCAAGCGAATTTTGGAGTCTGTAAATTTACATTAAGCACTATTTTGTAAAAATAAAAATATCTATAAGAACACCGGATTTTATATCTTACTGTTCTTTTTTTTATTTATATACATATATATATATATATATATATATATATATATATATATATATATATATATATATATATATTTCATAAGTCGAAATTAATTTTTTTTGACAAAGGATTATAGTAGAAGAGCATTTATCGCGGATTGAACTTACGTAAAAAGGTGAGGTTAGTAAATGTCGTTCAGCAGTAGGCGCCCAAGTAATTTGGGGAGTACAAAGGGTGTGTGTTTGCGCGCATGCGCGTGTGTATATGAGTGTCAGAGGCAAAGAAAGAAAGAAAGAAAGAAAGAAAAAGAAAGAAAGAAAGAACGGCAACACATATCTTGCTTTATAGTCTTTTTTTCTCAACTGGTGAGACCTGATACACTCGTTTCTCAGGTTAGCTTCTTTCTTAAAATTAATGTCTGAGGACTTCATTGCTTGTCTAATCTATGACTGAGGGTGCTCTAGATTCTTTAATATATTTATACGAAGCTTGCAAAGGTTTCAACGATCGTATTTCGTTGTTTGTTTGTCCTGTTCAGGTTACAGATAATCTGCAACGTAGCTTTGTCTTCATGGCGATATTCAAAAGAAAGGTTAAATAAGTGACAACGACAAAAAAACAATGTGAAATAACCTCACCCAGTCGACTCGTACAACTACTGGCACTACTATCTCACAGTAAAGATAAAATGAAAGGAAAAAACAGAAGAGAAAACGTATAAAAAATATGGCTGGAAAGGAGAAAGGGAAATATTTTAAAAAAAGCAAATTATATCTGTATGTAAGGATTTTTTTTTATAAAAAAGTTCCCATATATATATATATATATATATATATATATATATATATATATATATATATATATATTTTTCATTTTTGTTTGCGACTTAAGTTTCGCAGGATTTCCAGCTCATCAGGCACAATGTATATTTTATGTTTTTATAAAATACGCGCATATTTTTATAAAAAAAAAAACACAAGATATACTTTGTACGTGTATTTTTATAAAAACGTAAGATATATTTTGTGCCCGATGAGCTGAAAAACCGGCGAAACTTAAGTCGCACAACAAAAGGCAAGTATATGTATAGGTACATTTATTAATATATATCTTTGCTCTGTCTAACTATATTGAGCACTGTTGTGTTAGCACCTCATGAATAAATTTGATGATTTTTTATTTGCTTGCCTATGTGCGCCAATACGCACACATATGGTTGCTTATAGCTGGCCATTTGGCTTGTCTATCCTTCTCTCTCTCTCTCTCTCTCTCTCTCTCTCTCTCTCTCTCTCTATATATATATATATATATATCCTTCCTTGTCCTCCATAAGAATCTCTGACGCTCAATTTCTCGAGAGTACCTCTCTGCGGCTGTTCGGTCTCACGTTGACTGTTGACCTGAGATGGAACAAATACATTGAGTCAATTGCTTCGTCCACCGCAAGGAAAGTTGGCTCCCTGTGCCGCGCCAGGAAATTTCTCTCCCTGGAATCGATCTTGCTGCCATATATGGTCTGGTGCCCCTTCTGTTTGCCTCGGGGT